GTTTCGTCTTGGTTGGTTCCGGGAGTGGTATATGGACTTTTCGTTTTTCATCATAATAAAAGAAATAGTATCCACCATCATTTCTTTTATTTTCCTGCAAAAAGGGTTTCTTTTGATATCCAATATTCTTGGATTCCGACCGGTTAGAACCCTTCTTGACCCATTTTAATCTACACATTTCAACTAACCATTTGTTTGGACATTTTGTCACAATATGGTTAGTTTGCATGCAATAGTGGCAAGCCCTTACTTTTGATTTAGAAGTGGAGGCTTGGTTTGATGGGTTAATTTTTGAGGTATTAAAATGATTTTTAGCCATACTCATCAAATTTGTGGTTTCACCATAGCCAATACCTTCTTTTGTTAGTTTTGGTTGGTTATCCCATTCTTTTGTTGAGTTATAGCTATTGTAAAACATTTCTAAAGCCCCTCGTTTGGCCTTGTCTTTTTCTTTAATCAAAATTTCAATTTTCTTTTGAAGTTCTTCATTTTGATTTTGATGTTTCTCAAGATTAATTTTTAAAATTTTGTTTTCATCTCGAGAGGTTTCAAGAGCCACTTTGAGTTCCTTTTTCTCCCTAATAGTTCGAAAAAGGTCCTCTTGGCATTCATCAAACGCTTGCCTTAACTCATCAAAAGTAATTTGACTTTCAAAAGAGGTAAATGAGTTTTGAGAACTGACCTCTTCTTCATCATTGGAGGCCATGATGCAAGCATTTGCGTTCTCTTCTTGGCTTTGGTCACTATCACTTTCGTCGGAGTTTAAATCGTCCTAAGTGACTTTTAATGCCTTCTTCTTCCCCTTTTTAAGCTGTTCCTTCTTTTTGAGCTTTGGGCACTCCGGTTTGATATGACCTACATTTCCACATTCATAGCAAGTTATTTGATTAGGTTTACCTTTCTTTGATGGAAATCTTTTTGAGGATTCGCCCTTGTTCCATTTCATAAACTTCTTGTATCTCTTGAACATGGCAAGCTCCTCATCACTTTCTCCTTCGCTTTCCGGATGGTCATCAATTTTGAGTGCCATGGTCTTCTTGATGATAGGAACCTGTTCTTCTTCCNCAAATTTGCCTAAATGATCCTTGGTATTCAAAATATAGCATTTACACCCAAAAACTTTGAAATAGGAAATATTTGGTTTTCTACCTTTCCAAAGTTCATAGGGAGTCTTTTTAATAATAGGTCTAAGTAATACCCGATTAAGAACGTAGCATGCCGTGTTGACCGCTTCTCCCCAAAAATATTGAGGTAGGTTGTGTTCATTCAACATGGTCCTTGACATTTCTTGCAACATCCTATTTTTCCTTTAAACGACTCCATTTTGTTGAGGTGTTCTAGGAGCCGAGAAGTT